GACTAGCCCCAGCTTTCCCACAAGAACCGGGCAACAAGCTCTTATTATTTTCCTTTATCCAGCAACAGCCTGCGTAATGAACTACCGTTGATAGCGAAGACTTTGCAGGAATAAACTACCTGAAGGGCCAAAGTTGTGAGTTTTTTTGGCCGACTTTGAAATTATGCACAACTTGAATGAAGTTGGGCACATTTGCAACGACTGTATTGAAACAACACAACTATGGTCATATATGGTCATTTGTCTGGAATTCACAGGGAATTGTGGTGCAACGTGCAGTATTCTGCTCATGGCGCGCCAGGTTTGGCAAGTTTGTGGGCTACTCGGCGGTGATTCCGATTCTCAAGGCTGCATGGATGGCATATATATTTATAGCAACACGAACAATGAAGACACACCTGCAGAGGAGCCCTTGCAAACACATAAAACACGCTCAGATTAAGGTTGAGGGTTCCAAGAGAAAGCACATGCAAACACAGAACGCTTGGACCCATGGCTGTCACCCGAGCTCGCCATTGAGAGGACTGCTGATCACTGTTGGCCTGTTAGCCTAAACCCCTGAAACCCCTGCATCGAACTCGGCAGGATCTTTTTGCAGTCGCTGACGGAGATCGCTGGTGCACCTCACGGTGAAGCCGCAGGACTGTCCTGCACAGGGCATGGTTGAGAGCTGGCATGGACTTGCTGCGCCTACGTGCGTTCTGTAGGCATTTGGCTTGAGGGCTGACCTTTCTGATCGTTTTTATGATGGGGCGGGAAAGGGAACTGCTGTTTGCCAAACAGTGGGAGAGGATTGCAAATGTGCGATCACGCTTTCGCCGTGGGGTGCACTGGCTGAAGTTCGGCGTTGGTTGCAATGGTGACCCTGTTGTCGCAGCAACAGAGTCGCTGGACTTCAACCACGAAATCCTCAACGTGATCCTCAACACGGTTGGCTTGGACAAGGTGGCGGTTTCCATGTTGGAGAAAGAGGCCTGGCTATGTATCCCGATGCTATGTCTGTCACATATTGGGTGCGCTGTGTTGAAATGTTTCCCCAGCTAATCCTTACAATTGGATGGGCGAGCACATGAAAGTGGTATAGGGATGGAGGAACATCTCTTTATTGGAGAGAATCCCACTGTATGTGGCCAATTATCAGGCAATAAGGGGCTCAACAACTGCATGTCTATTCCCCTGCAAGGTGAAGGCGCTGTATCTCCACATCCCGCATGTGCCAGACAACCCCAGGCAGGCCTACCTGGACGCATGGGACCTTCGCCGCATGATAGCGTTTTTAAAGACGAGGCAAGCGGATGCAGCTCGCCGTGGACAAGCGCCCCGGGTTTCCTGGCCATTAAGCTCACTTAAGTTTTTGAGTTTCCAAGCGGTGGTTGCAGTTTGAAAAGCATGTTGCAGTTGTCATGTGGGTGACCAAGTGGCTGGTCGCATTGACTCTTCAAGAAGAGTGGCTCCATGTACACACACACACACAGCGATTTAATGCTCGTAGGGGTGCATGCACGGTATGAGTTTTTTCAATTTCTGTGCTAGCACTATCTGAGATAACTTCATGCTTGCGCGTGGGTTTTCCAACTCAACCTGTAGGACATGTTATGGTTTATGAAATTAAGTCGGGGAAGAGCCTGGACACGCTGAAAATTGCAATGGGGTTGTCTCAAAAATAGGGGAACCCCAAAGCCAGCTGTTAGTTTTTCTTGGTTTCCCTTTTGAAACAATTAACACAAAAAAAAGGTACCCTCAAACAACAACACACACAAATGTTTTGTTGTTTGGCTTGCTTGTCACCAACAAATACAACTGCATGCACTCTGAGTGGAACCCCGAATATGTTTGGAGGAACCCTTGAAAATGGATTTTGGGCCAGGTCTATAGGTGTCTTTTTGATTGGTTCGTGGATAGAAATGGATGGCACTGCATGGTTTGGTTTTACGCCCCATTTTGCAGGAGTACCTGCATGGTTGACCTGGTTGCATAATCTATACCATGCAGCTGGGAAACCCATCATTTTCGGCCAAATGGACACCGGCCACCACCACCCACCATCACGACCACCATCATCATAACCCTTATCCCCATGCTCACCCACATCATCATCAAGCTCATCACCCTCATCACCAGAATCATCGCTGTCAGTGCAACCACCACGACCATTCAAAGAGCATCCACACACTGCGGCGCCCACCATCAGTGTGTCACCGCGAGCACTTTGGCATCCTCAATGTCATGACCATTGCAAGTGCAATTGTCTTCACCAACAGAGCCAGCAACTACCGGAGTAACCTTCTAATCGCTGCATGCCACCCCAGACCTCAAAAGCAGGAACATTGCCAACGTGCGTGAACCGATATTGCGGCCAAAAACCAATCAATATACTCCACACTCTGGCACACAGCAGTCACACTGCTGTGATGCTTTGCTGCCATGCCTGATATAATGACACGCATATATTGGCATGGGACCACCCTATATAGATTCTTTTCAGGTATATAGGGAACAT